TAGTTATCGCCGTGATCGGCCTTGATATGATGCCAATGAGAACAATTTGATAGCTTATAACTGATACATAACAATACATTTTTATATATTCATTCCAGCTTACATCGCTTTCATACTCTATCCCTCCCTTAGGCTATTATACATCTCAATATTGTACACAGCTTTTCTACTGCTTACCGCTCTTGATATCGGCCTCGATCGCATCCGCCGCATTCTTCAGTCCTGACAACTGATCCTCAATGTTCGCTAGCCTGAAATCCTGTGCTGATTCGGCTGGCTTAATCTCGGACTGAACATCGGCCACTACATCTGGTGCAGCGGGTTGCTCAGGAGGTGAAGTGGCTGCGTCGGAGGCAATAGGCTGTTCTGGCGATGAGGTGGTAGACTTAGCCTGAGCCTCACCCACGACCTCAGGGGAGGAAGTTTGCTCAGCCACTACTCCAGGAGCAGCAGCCTGCACAGGAGACGCAGGGCCGGAGCTAGCGGGTTCCTCAGGCAATGCAGACAGCGCCTGAGCGGCAACCTCCTTTGCAGCTCCTAGGGCAGCCTCTCCTATCATGTCAACCATCTCGCTCTCGGTAACCTCAAGCTCGTCACCGTAGAGCCCCTCCCTTAAGATCTTCTGTTCCTCCTCATTGAATCCCTCGAGGTTGTGTTGCATCTGTCCCATGACATTCTTGCGCTCAGCAAGAGCAGCCTTCTTCTCGCGGTTCATGTGCTGTACGATATCAGGAGAATTTTCCCATGTCGCCATGTTCTTCTTCTTAGCATCTGCCATACGTCGCTGTTGACCTCTTTGACCAGCTCGGCCTAGGACACCACCAACAACAGCCATCGCTCGCAGACTACCCATGCATTAGTAACGGAAATGGTTAATGTTGATGGAAGTTCTTACCTGTCATCGTTAGCAGGAATGGTATAAGTCACCCATGATGGGTCTACGTTGGTATCAATAACGCCAATCGTAGGAATGCTCTTAAGACCGCACTCATAAAGAAGAGTATAGTTCTCAAGGGGGTTCAAGCAAACAACCAGATCAGGCATCAGCGGTCGAGCCGAACCTCTGTAGGACTCAAACCCGGGGAGTTCCTGGTCCTTGTGGTCCACAACCTTTGTTCCGGCCATCTTCAGAATAACATCTCGATTGGTGATGGCCCCAGGGGTCCACTTGGTGAACAGATGACAAGCACCAGCCATCTCAGCAGCCTGGGTGACAATCTCCATCTGACCCTTGCGGTTTCCTACGAAGAGAATGAGGCCAGCCTTGTATGCTACCTCCTCCACCACACGGGCCGCACGTCGCAGGTGTGCTGCGGTCGTTTCCAGAGAGATAATGTGAACACCTTGTCGCACGCCGTAGATGTATCGAGAGTTCGCGGGGTTCCAGAGCGAAGTCTTGTGTCCAATATGTGTTTGTGAAGCCATCAACATCTCTAGAGTGATATCCTCAGGTCCAGGGGGGTTGTTGACAAGCTCGGTGGGAATATATCGCTTCTCCAGCTTTGAACCGAGACTCCGTGTGTTGGCCTGAATTCTTTGCCATTCCTTATACTGCTGAGCAGGCGTCGCAGGTACCGCCGAGTTTGAGTTGGAGTGAGGTGTTGTCCAAGCAGCACCCCTGTGCTCGTGCGCCGAGTTGGTCCTGAGAGAAAGAATACCGTCCTGTACAATTCGCTGCTTCTTTCGTGCCGCTGAGACAATCTTCGGAGGCGCAACAGCGGCCTGGGTTGTCTTCCACTCTTCGGATGTGGTCTCAGTCTTTGTGGTGACCTGAGTGGACATTTGCCGGGCGAGGGACCTAGAGATGGGAGACGCCAATGTGTGGCGGCCTGAACATGTCAGTTGTGTATTTGAATGAATTAGAGCTCAATTGACTCACAATGCCGCACGGGGGCGTTCCTCAGGATCATGGCGACGGCTTGGAGACTGCTCGGTTATCGTGGTGGTCGTTCGACTGTACCAAAATTTGGCTATGGTCGATGAATCGGGTGGAGGGATTTTCCGGGCCGACTAATATCCTCCCGCTACGACTCATCACAACTTTCCAAACGAACGATCCTGAAATTAGCAATGAGACATATTTTACTGACAAAGAAAATTTATTGGCATTGAATTAGTCTTGCAAGGTTAATCTCTACTATGAAAAGCTACTTTCTCTTTCTGAATATCTACACTAAACAGCCCCCCACCTCCATCTTCATCATGTCATTACGAAGAACAGCAGATGACGCCTTTACCGACTGGTGAGTCTGGCGATGGTAAAGACACCAATGATAGTGACGGCCAATGTGACAATTGCGCCAGGAAGTATGAGCTCGTTCGGTACACCAGCAATAAGCTGCTCGGGGCCTTGTGCGTGTGTATGTGCCGCACGGCCCTTTCGTCTCCGTACGGGTTCATCCTCGTCATCCTCATCTTCTGAATCATCATCTTCCTCTTCGGGCCACCACTTACGCCGCTCTCGTAGACCGGCCCCGGTTGAGACTGATGGTGTAGCAGGGGCCCCAGATACAGGTGGCTTCTCAGGATCATGGACAAATAGATCGACCTTATCATGATGAGCTTGACGAGCAAGAATGACAGCCTCGAGAAGGTCATGGTCGGCTGTGATAGAGATAGAGTCTCCTTCATCATCCAAAAAGCTCATTGCAAAACCTGGGCCGACAATCTTGCCGTCAGACACAGGAGGCACACCACCAATGCTGTCTGCCTCCGCACCAAGCTTGGAGGCAACAGCGTTGACGAAAACTTCAATGCCTTCGGTTGCAGTGACCTTGAGACGGTGCACTCGGCCAGATGGAGCCTTGAATTTGAAGGGGAAAGGGAGCTCTTCTGGTAATTGATGTTCAAGAACATCGGGAAGAACAGAACGTGGAGGTGACTCCATGCCAACATGAGATGCTGAATCGCCAGGAGCGAGACTATCGTTGATACCTCGGTGCATGTCAGGCGAGGTCAGGCGAGAACCCAGATTGGTGTGGTGTGCCGCACTACCCTCTCCAGACATCATGGACTCTGTCTCAGCGTCGAGCGACAGCCAGAACTTGTTCCATGCTGGACCCTCATCGTTGGTGTTTGACATGGCATTGATTTGGTCGAGTGTAGCATATGTTAGCTTGAGAACGTCGACCATGCCGACGATCTCACCGCCATCATTCATGACAGGGAGGTTTAGGTAGTGACCATCTGAAAACATATTAGCGGCATCTTACTAAATTTTCCTAAACAACTCACCGTGCATCTTGCGGAGAGCCGCCTGGAGGGTCATGTCCATGGGTGCAAAGTCGGGGTGAGGGGTCATGACACGCACAACACTGCAGTTGGCGGGGTCAAGACCAGGTGCAATAACTCGAAGAACGACATCCTTGCTGGTGAAAATACCCGTAATAGCTCCTTGATCCTGAACAAGGACAGCGGTTGTACGGTTCTCCTTCATAAGCTGAGCAGCTTCCTTGACCGAGGTTCGCACGCTCACGGTGGTGGGGGGCACACCGTTGAGCACGGTCTCCAAAGTAGGCCCAGACATCTTGCTGCGCAGAGCTTCGACATATTGGATGATCTGCTGGGGTTGAGTCGAGCCCAGTTCAGACTGGACGCCCTCAAGCGCATCGTAAAGCTTTCTGGAGGACGAGTAGGCACGCTCTAGCTTCTCCATAGCATCGTAGAAGCACTTGGTAATATCCAACACACCCGAAATATCCTGGTTCTCGTCCATAACTGGCAGATGTCGGAAACCCTTTCGGACCATGAGATCCAGGGCATCGGTAGCACTTGTATCGGTTCGAGCGCAAAGAGGGTTCTTCGTCATAATCTCAGCGATAGTAATAGCGGAAGCCTTTGCTCCAGCTCCCACAACTCGGAACGCAAGATCCTTTGCGGTGAAAATACCAGCAATTCGATCGTCATCGTCAGTTACTAGAACACAATCCTCGCGTTTTGCGGCCATCAGCTGGGCAGCCTCGGAGACGGTGGTGCCAGGCTTGATCTGTAGGGCCTGACTGGGCTTCAATGCGAGGACAGTTCCAGGAGGAGCCTTTCGTGAATGGCGAGCCCGGCTGGTAAGGTGCTTCTTCTTGGAGAGGTCATTTTCGAGCTTCTTTCGGATGGCCTGAGGTGGAGGTTAGTAACCTGGTATATTGTAATTCGAAGCCTTTCGAGGTATATATCGCAGTCGAGGCCAATCGTAAGGGTATATCATGACGAACCTCATCACGCTTGCTCTGCTTTTGACGACTCGCGCTGACCGCAGATCCAGTCTCAGTAGGCGGTGAGGGTTCGAGGACCGGACGAGGGATGCTTGAACCACCGCTGGGACTGTTGGTGAAAGGAACCGCGCCACGGCCCTGGTTGCGAGTGGGCGTTCCTCTATAAGTGTTTCCCGACATGATAGCGGTAGATGGAACGAAGACGAGACGAGGATTCGGTCCGGCTTGTCGTCACAGCCAAAGGCAGAATACGTACGATTGCTGGCGTTATCTGTTTCGCTGTATGCAAAAGAGGGTCGGCGGCAAGGGAAATGCAATAGAAAAAGGTGAGTTTATGCCCCGGATGGAGGAAACCTAGGAAAATCAAGGATCAGCCAATCGCAGTGGACGAGATATTCTGCAGGCTGGAGGAAATCGGGTGATTTTGTTCGAGGTGAGTGACTCTCCAAGCTCCCAGGATGTTGGTACCTCCCGCCCGCCTCTTGGCCTGGCCCCTGTGCTTTCAGGGTTGTTGTGGTAACTCTTAGTGGTTATTGACTCAGGAGCGCTTATTATCCAATCAGATGTTGATTGAAACCGTTTCACCGACTTGATCCGACAACGTCTCTAATAAATAAAACGAAGCTCTTAGACATACATGATCGAGGGCCAGACCGAAAAGGAAAAGAAGCATTTCAAGTGGAATACTACTCTATATGCATGCTCTTCCCAGTAATGACCCGCATCTGATCGTATCTGACTTACATATAGTTCGTCAGAAGGATCCATTACATCCAGCCAGCACATCATGGGCCCGTGCAATATATTATGTGTCGATTTTTATTCCATGCTCACACACGAACTAGTAGCCTTATTGGACATATTAAGACCATATGAACATTCCGTTTCCGTACAAGCAAATTGTTTCCTCTTCTCTTGAGCAGTTCCCAGAGACTATACATATCAAAACCCATCCTTTGCTGACCGCAGGTATCCGACCATAGTATCGTAGTCCCACATCTCAAGCATCCTTCCCAACTTCGGTTCCTTCACTCCGAGCCACGGAGTCGACGGCCAATAGTCGACGCCACTGAAGTGTCCTTCTTCTTGGGAAATTTCTTGTACATCATGCCGAGGAAAGTGGCCATGTTCTCCGAGCCTCCAATGTAGTCGAGTGTGTCCTCGATTGTTCTCTTCCACTCAACATCGAGGTTTCCTTTCACAGCCCGCTCCAGTAGTTCTGTCACGACGACAGCCATCTCCATGCCGCCAACACAGGTGTTGCCGAAATCATCTGCAATGGGCACACGACTACCACTCATGCCTCGGAGAGTCGCTGGCTTAACGGGGTCACACGGTTGGAGAGTCGAGAACCGAACGAGGGATGTTTCCTCAGCCATTTCAATCTCTTGGGTGGTCTCAGTAGTTAAGAAGGTTGACTGGTCCTCCGTGTCCGTGCTGGACAGTGTTTGCTGGCTGGACAGAGCCTGTTCCTCAACGTCTGGTTCGATGACGATCATGCGAGGGCCGGGGTATGTCTGAATGCACTGGAGCGGGAAGTATACACCCGCCCATGGCGCAGTGTTACCAGACTCCGGATTGTAGCCTTGGTTCCGAGCTAGAGATCGGCAGAATTCCAGATTCTTGCAGTTCATGAGGTTCTCACGTTCGTCTTGGGTGAGATCGAAAGCATCCTCGTTGCCATACAGCTGTAGCGCGCGTAGATATCCAGTATAAGGGACAGTTTGCACGACGAGGGGGCATTTGAGGCGTTGGTGAAATGAAGTTTCATAGATGCTGTCACGCTGGCGCTCTATAGTTTCGCATTTGTCGAACACAATGACGCCGGAGTTCTTGGTCGTTGTGTCTGAGTCGGCGGTCATGGTTGAGTGAATGTGAAGTGATTGAGTCAAGGAGTGGCTGTGCTTTGGTTCGATAATGAAGGCTAGAGAAGAAGATGAGAGACGAGAACGTTTAGCCTGACATCGGAAGAAAGAAGTTGAGAAAGGACAGAGAGACGAAGTTCTGAAGGAAGTCACATCGGTGGTTACTTGGCAGGGTAGGTGCCCAGTCTTGCACTGGCAGCTATTGCCAACTGCCGACTGCCGACTGCCAAAGTGCCTGTTCGCTCCTGCCCAAGTTTGTAAATGGACACACATGCCCAGTTTACCTAGGGGAGTGATTTCCAACATTGACATCGTACCTACCTACATAGTACGCTTCTATGAAGGGAGGCACGATCTCAATAACCCAATTTATTTCAGGCCAAACATTGTGGTATACCTTAGGTATCTAAGGTAAGGTCTAGCAGGACTTTAATACTACTCTATTTGTAAGATCGTTAAGAATATTACTCTTCACCTTCACTTTTCAACCTGCTAGAGTCGAAACGGGCCAGCTATGAGTCGTCGGAAACTATAGTTAAGTATCATTAGTTGCCTTTCTTGCAGTGTTCTATGCATCATTTCATCATTAGCTATTGATACATATCTAGATGTTCTCGTATTGAATAATGGTGTAACTCCATGAATTAGGAGACTTGATGTATAATTATTTTTCTATGATCGTCTAAATTGATAGACGTATGAAGATCCCGACGGGCCAATAATTTGCCACCTTCGTCGGTGTTGAGTGCGTGCTTACCCAAATGATTGTAAGACTCTATTTCAAAACGTTGGCGCCGGCTGGTATCCGCTGGCGGAAGTGGTGATGACCAGCGCCGGCCGTGTGGGGCCGACTATCCTGACAGCCCACGGCGTTGACCTGGAGAGACTTGGGTCAATGAATGAGGAACTCTACGAGTATGAGCTTTTGTCTCATCATCTTCATTCTAAGACTCTGTCTTCATGGGAAAGAGGCCGCCAGTTACCGAATGTTTTCGATCTCGATCTCTGGGCATTACCATTTCTGTATACGAACAACTACTCTTCATTACTGTGTTAAATATCGGAGTTAAAAAACAGAAGCAAGGGTTAGGAGTCTGGATCACGATGCGTTTTTCATTCACACGATGACAGTTTCCTGGAGACTTTTTATAAACATATCAGCATTTCCTTGGCTTCTGACGCCCGTTTTGTTCACATTGATAATGAGATTGCTTTGTTATTTAGAGCTCCCGGTTATAAGCTGATGCGTATGGTGTTGAACTCAATCGAAAACGCCATCTCTGGGGGCAAAAATACCGATAAGATGTCCAGTAAACGCCGAGCATAGCAAAATTTAAGGTTCAACGGTGTTGCCTCTTCAGCGGGAGAGGTTTGTTTACAATGACGACTGAACGAAGAAGCGACTGCAAACTTTGACAAAACGCAGGACTTGTCTCAAAAAAAAAAAAAAAAAAAAAAAACCAAGGACTGCCTTTGGATAGACCATGGATTAATCTATTGGCGGTGAGGTTTCTAGATCATATTGTATCAAAGAGCGACAGGATCTAGGTCAATGATAAGGAATGGTGAGATTCCAAGGCAATGCCTTGTGCTGAAGAACGCCTCCCGTCCGAAGCGAGGAAACAAGAGCTGAATGTACAGTCATGGACTGGGGAACCTAGGCAACGTCCTACAATAAGTTCAATTCAATGTGGTGATGGTGACACAGGACATCGCCATTCACTGTTTGGCTGGAATGCAGTTACAAGTTGGAGGCCTTTGAGCGTTTGTATGTCCAATGGCGCAGAGGCACTTGGTATGGACGATGACCTAGGCTTTCTCATTTCCAGGTTGTTTGAGACAACCTCACTTTTATGTGATCGTGTTGATCCTGAAACGAGACGTCATCTGCGTCAGCTACAGGGGTTGTCGTTTACAGCTGCCATTGACCGAGACATGTGCTGGAATCCTAGGTTGTTATGGTAGCAACAGGGAATAAGGTAATGATGCTATTCCCCTGCGACACCTCGAATTGCTTGAGCTGAGAGGTACTGTGGCTGTGGTTTTCAAACCGCGAAGTAGTTATCAATGTTTGTTATGGGAATTGGATCGTGGAAATACAAGTTATCAAGTTTGAAAGATAATGAGATCACTTTGAGTGTGGTCAGTGGTCAATCCTCGGCTAGAATCTTATCATGATCAGGAAGTGGGATGTGTCCCGAGAATAAACATGGTTCTATGGTGTAATGAACCATCGGTCGCCAGGTCACGTCTCAGAAGTTGGCTGCCACACTCTTTTAGTAGCTCTAGCCGCCAAGGTGTGCCAGGGTAACCGGCTGAGCATGGGTGAAGCTGGATTTAGTGGTTTGATTCTGGTTGCCCCTGGTGATTGTTTACTTTTAGCTCGATCTCACTATCAACCCCAAAGATCCAAGTTATCCACACTGCTGCTCTTGTTGCATCTAGCACCAAAGCTACTCCATACACACATCCATACATACATACAGAACAATCAGAGCTTGTACATCAATTGCATCTATCTCATCTCTCGGGAGAGCTCAAACACACAAAAGAGCACTTCCACAAACCAATATCATTGCCTTACAGGCATAACCACATTTGAACTTATATCGCAAAGTCGACCTCGACTGAGAACGACAACAACAATTTTCCACTAGCCCGGCGCTCTGTGCTTGCGCTGCGTGAGGTAAGGAGCATGAAGTGCAGTGAAGGATTGGAGAAGTTGACTGACATATCAACAGTTTCGGACCTATAGGTTCCCATCGACAATATATCGACCGACGACAATTCCCTTCCGGACTCCCCTTGCGACATTATGCTGTCCAATCCAACAGGACTTCACGCCCGACAAAAGCAGCATCGGCGTCAAAATTCGACACCGTCTGCTTTCGAGGGCGCCAAGATCCCTAATCTGCCAACTACACAACGACAAACCGCACACCGACGCGGCCTCAGCCTAGATGTTCGACGACAACAGAACCAGAACATCAACTCAGCAGCAACAAGGCAGAACTACATGGTAAGTACGAATACTAACAACACAGGATTAGCCAATATTTCTACGCAGCAAGTTCTGCGAGAAGCGCAGCAGCAACGCATTCAAGCACGCCCGGGCACACAGAACCCTTACGCCAACCTGGCCCCAAGTGGAAGTGAGAACTATCTCATATCACCTCATGGAACTCCTCAGACACAACGATTCGACCCGTCCTGCTTTGACCCCAACTCACTTCCTTTTGACCCTTACACTACTGATCTTAACGTGATGATGGGCAAGGGCCAACAGGCTGCATACGGTGACAATATGTCGGGAGGTAAGGAATTTGATATCTTTAACAATGACAGTGCACTTTCAACTCCAACGTTCATCAACTTTCCTTCTGAGGGTTCCTCCGCTCAGGGCTGGTCCTCTGAAGGTGACACCTCCAGTACAAGGAGAGCCTCAAGAAGGATAAGTGGTGGCATTCTGGACCGCGTTAACAAGTTTGAGACCTTGGACTCAACGACAAGACCCGCTACGCCTCCTAACCAGAACCAAAGTCAGAACCAGAACCAGAACACACAAAGTCAGTCGCTCAGCTGGACTATGACAATGCCTGAGACGGCTAACCTTGAGCAAGGTTACTTTCCCCCTACGCCAATTGAGACTCCCCACGACCGATTGGTCAAGGATGAGGGCATGCCAAGTCGGTTTGCCGATGGATATGATGAGTCTATGGAAGAGACTATCAAGCCCGTGAGGAACCGCGGAGGAAACCGAAGGGCTCAAAACATCTTCCAAGACATCAGACAACATTCTGAGCAAGTCATGTCTAGCCCAGCTCGGTCAAATACTCTTCCTGAGTCATCCTTCAGTGGACTGCCAATGTCGACACCTGACTACATGAACATGAACAGCTTCAACAACGAGTTCATGAAGATTGAGAGCGACTTTGGCCGGGAAGAAATCCATGGTCTCAACAACCAACTACCACAACAAGCCACTCCCAACACTCCTCAAATGACACAGTACATGGGATCTTTTGACAACAAGCCTGAACTCCAACCCTATCCCATGGGTGCTCAATCTGTCTGCGGAACCCCCTCTCAGACACCTTCTCGTCGCCACTCTCCCCATCGCCGCACCGAGTCAGTTGCTAGCATCGCAAGTGCTGCCAGCATCGCCAGCATCAACATTGAGGAGACCAAGACAGAGACCGGAGTCACTCAGGATGAGATTGCCCAGTTCATTAGTGGCCCAGACGCCAGCGACGGCAAGTGGACATGTACTTATGAGGATTGCGGCAAGAAATTCGGCCGCAAAGAGAACATCAAGTCGCATGTTCAGACTCATCTCAATGACCGACAGTACCAGTGTCCCACTTGCAAGAAGTGCTTTGTTCGACAGCACGATCTCAAGCGACACGCCAAGATCCATACTGGAATCAAACCCTACCCTTGCGAATGTGGAAACAGCTTTGCTCGCCACGATGCTCTTACTCGACACCGCCAACGAGGCATGTGCATTGGTGCTTTCGATAACGTCGTGCGTAAGGTTGTCAAGCGAGGCAGACCCCCCAAGAAGAGCCGCCCTGATATCGAGACTCGTATGGAGAAGTCGGCGCGAACCCGCAAGAAGAACATGTCTGTCAGCTCAATGTCATCATTCTCTGCTTGTTCTGACAGCTCAGCTGTCAACTCACCAGAACAGTTTATGCTTGATGACATGATGGACATTGGAATGAGTTCACAGAACCAGGCCCTCGCTGCCGTCTCTTCAGCACCCATGACTGGCATCACAGCCGCCGCTCTCCAGGAGTATGCCTCCTCTCCCTCCACTGGCAGCGCACACTCATATGTCTCCCCGGAGGCCATCATGGAGGGCACTCCTATGCACGCGGCATCTCCTTCCAAGAGCATCGCAAGCCAGTACAACACACCACCTGAGCTCTCGCAATCATCTTCTCCCCCAGCCACTCACTTCTTCGACGTCGATCCCAACACTTCAATCAACAACGACGATCTGACCATCATTCCCGGGACAACAACTTTCGTCACCTCGGCAACCATGGCTGCTTCTCTTCCCCTTGGCCTAAGCAATGCGGATGATGAAATGCTGTATCAATTTGCCAACGACGACGATCTTATCCAACTGGATCGCGACTCCAACATGCTCATGAGCAAGTTTGACGAAGATTTCGACAACGTCGGCATGTTCACCAACAACAATGACGA